AGTGTACAAAAGGAAGGAGCTTACTGAAGAGGGAAAAAGTTCCGGAATAACTGGGGTAGGGACATGAACAAGGTGAGAGTTACCACTGCCGCCGCTTGATTTCCGTCTTTTGACCGCTGCATCTAATCTGCAATTAGTTCTTTTAGCGCCCAAGGGATTCTATAGCAAAAAGGATAAAGTACGGTAACAACTGCTCTTCGTTGTAAATCTGTCGATCTCTCCAAACGTTGAGAGTTTTGATCATAGCTTTGTCCAGCTCTGGGCCAGATATCTTGGCAGCATGTCTTCAAAATAAAAATAATTTCATTGGAAATGGGTTAGAAAAGATTCAAATGTTTATTTGCATGAGTAAGCAGCTCACCTGAATGCAGGCTCCAACACACCATAAAACTTTGTCATGAACTCTGGATTTTTCTTACGACTGTTCTGTATGACATCATTAGCAACGTACAACAAATTAACAATTTGTGAAGAGTTCGTCTCCTTTCGGACCTCCTGAATATGCTAAAACTTCTTCAGAATTTTTAAGACTCCGTTATTATCAAAATGCATTTTACCTTCAGCCAGATTTGCACGATGTCATCCATATGGCGGTGATGGTGCATCAACCAAAGCGATAATGTGTTTATGGAATCTTGCTGAGGCCTAAGCTTCGCCAACCTTTCACGCATTGCTACCTCGGAAAATCCCGACATTTTACCTAGATAAAGTTACTTTACAACTGAACCAAAGTAAATAGTTGTTAGTAAAAAGAAAAGCAAAGTAAAAATGGTTCATAGCAAGCTGCTATACCGACAGCAGAATCTAGTGTAGCACGGATTTTCACCTGGAGCACGAAAGCGCCGCGTAATCGGCCATCTGCTGAAGTTAGCCAATTTTAATTTTAAATTTTCTTTTCCGATCAAATTGTTTCCTGTGTTAGTAATACAAAGAAATATCCCAAGTACTATTTTGAGCGGCGATTGTCAAGACAATGTTCTAAAGGATCGGTGAGTGAGTACTTCATGATCAAATTCGAGCTTGTGACGGGCTCTCTTTAAGGTTTTATATGAAGCGGTCAGCTTGTTGAGGTTGTTGCCTAGTAATCTTAAGTCATCAGAGCTGAAATGATTTAGCAAATGAAAAACACACTATGAGCACCACTTACAATCATTTGTCATTTGCGTCCTTGGAGCTGATATTCCATAAAGGTCACCATTTGTTGAACAATTTCGATATGGACACACTGCTTTCTTTCTTACTTTTCTCTTCCTGTTTATATCAGCATTTTGTCACTGAAGAGAGTAGGTGATTCATATTTTCGCCTCAGGTTATACCACACGCCTAGCTGGCCCTTGGGGGGTTTTTAAAAAGAGGAGTATAAGATATTTTGTTCAAAAAAGTGTTTTTAGTAAGTGAATGAACTCCTACAGCTCTATCAGTTGTTGAATTACTTATGTTTACAAAAAGATTGATTTTTCTTCTCAAAACGGTAACTTTTAAGAACGTTATCACTTAATGAAACAATGTTCTTCAACGCGTATCTTCCCTGCAGAATAATTAGAGTTTGATCCCAACCTCTCTATGGGAACTGATGTCAAACTTTGTTTTGTCGGCGTCAGAGATCGAAAAGTATTTTTGTCGCTTGAAAAAGCTCTTGCTTTACGTTAATCTGCTTTATTTCTCAACCCTCTAAACTCAACTATTTAGAAGTCATTGAAGTGGAATTTCAGATGTACACAAAAATGAGTAATCCGATAATGATCTTTATATAACCAAAATTTTAGATCTAATTAGACTTCTGATAACTAGATTATCTCCATATTTTAGCAGGAAGGACAAGTGCCGGAGTACCTTTGTCCGCTTATTCCGTCCCACAACTTTTAGACGAAGTGATAACTGAATGGATGCGGAAATGGAGCACTTCATTTTGTAGAGTATTTCCAATTTTAAATGGTATACAGAATGTAGCCAGAGTCTTTTAAAACTTCCTAATTTTTTTTTGCGTTGAGAAAAATCTAAGAACTTCAGATCGTATATTTTTGATGTATCTTTTAAAAAACCCCGTTTCAGACAATGTTTCAACTGCCGTATCGGATCTAACGCCACTTAACTGGAAAAAAGTTGATACAGCGAGCGAAGAAGTCTAGAGATTTGAACAGCAAAAAGCTTTAATGCTGTTTGCAAAACCCCAATTTTCAAAGTATATATATACACATATGTACATATATATATATACATATATATATATACATATATATATATGTATATATATACGCATACACATATACATTATACATAGACATACATCACACAGAAGTGAAATTTAAAACCTCCTCTGAAATTCCTAAGATATTGTGAGAGTGGATTTGGAGGACCTCTTACACACAAATAGAAGCAGGTGGGATGCTCGGGTAGCGATACCAACTCTCTTCTTTACAACAATGACCGTTGCGTGCGTAGCTCATCGAGTAATTTTCCTTTGCCGAGTTCATTCTATCTTGAGAGTAAGGCCGACATAGCAGTTCAAATATCAAATGCGATTTAACGTAATTATCTTTAGACGTTCTCATACCATGTTTTATAATACATATTTGCTTAAATCTCGAATATTCTTGATTTTCTAGCTGGTATGCCGTTATAGATCTGAGAATTTTCAATGGTCTAACGCAAGCCAATCCGAAAGGAACGCGCTGCAGAGTATTGTAAAATCGTGCTCTCTGGCACTTTGATTTTCCAGTGCTAAACAAAAGATTCAAAAATTTCGGAAGTCCAGAAAACCAGGATCAACTTTTTCCGTGAGATTATTCAAGATTTGAACCAGTAGTCACTCCTTTTCATAAATCACTATTTTGCATGCGCGTGGGTCTAAGTATAATTCCCAGCACTTTAAACCATCGCCCACTCAAAAAGGGGCGAACCAATAACAATACGAGTAACATATCAAGTTGTCATCTAATTGTGGGAAGAGAAAACATCTGAAATTGAATGAACAAATTACGTGGCGCAAAATGAAGAAGAGAATTGGAGAAGAAAAACTCATATTCCATTAGAAAAAACAGATGTAGTGATCTAAGGAAAATCTTAAAAGGTTTCTTCTTGACTCAAGCAAAAATGGCTCAAGCAGCTTACTCAAAGCGTTAAGCAGAAGTTATCGCTGGAATTTCATCGTTCTTGAAAGCCCACAGCACCCTACCGAGACGGGTTGCAAGGGTCCACAAGTAAGGTTCACTTGTGTAACTGAATCATTTACAAGTTATAGTTCTCTGCGGAAGGTGAGTTGTTGCTCAAAGCAATGAAAAGGCAAATCAACGTCTTGTCATTCTGTCAAATAAGACTACGAAGGAGATCCAAAAGGGAACTTTAGCGCCAAGGTCGTCCAGTCCATTTTCCAGCACTTCACTGATTATTGCTGAACAACCTTTGAGGACTTAAAGTGGTATACATCTACTTACTTATTTAAATACTTAGATACTTAGATGGCCTGTATTCACTTGTCGTGCAGGCCACAGCACTGTTTCCATCCGTTCCTGTCTCTCGCTAGCGTCAT